TTTTTGGGCGGAGTTTGTATTTGTGGCGCTGGGCTCTGATTGGCTCAATCTCTAGACCAATAGAAATGTTTGTTTTGGAAAAAATGGCCGAAAATTGCGTTAAAATGAAAAATTGGAGAAAATTAGGGAAAAAACGAAAATTAATTCCTTTTAACGCAAAAAATGCCGAAAATTGGTCTCAAAAGCACTCAACTCTTCGTCACGTGATATCGAGAGTGCGTTTCGGCCAACAGTTGTGGCGCGAAGTGGACGACCAATCGGAGGACGAGACGAATGTGCGTTTGTTTTGATTATTCGAAACACTAATCTCTCATTGGTTTAGGATTTCCTCGGTTTCGGCCAATCGGAGTGTCGACAGCCGTCGCGCGACTCAACAATCGTTTCGGAGAAGAGTTTCGAGAAAACGCGAAGAATTCAGGAATTGCTTCGAAACCAATGGGAGGAAAGGATCCGCGCGCTCAACCAATCGGCGGCCGTTGCCATCGCGACGAAGAGCATCGTCCGGAAGGCGCGCTTCGAGATCAACAAACAGACGATCGAAAAGATCCGCAAAACCGCGCACCAGTCGTCACGTGACTCCTCGCCCGCCGCACCCGCGCGCGACTCCACTCAGAGGTAGTTGTGCCCGACGTGTGCTCATTGTTGTCATTGTCACTGTTTCCATGACTACAGGTCTGGTCAGCCGGGATCCATCACGTGCGCGATCTGCGCGCAAACCAAGTTCTACTCGCACGTGCAGCGCCGCTACGGCGTGTTCAGGTATGACGTCATCCTCGCGTCACGTGATCACTGATTGTTGTCTCCTTCTCTCAGTTGCGAAAGTTGTTCCAAATTCTTCGCCAAATTCCTAAAACAACCCAAACAATACTTCTGCGCGCAAAACGGTCAGTAGTTCTGTAGTGTCCACTCGCCGCTGACCACTCTCTCCCGCAGGCGACTGTCCGCTGGGCGCCGCTGAGTGGCGGTCGTCGTCCGCCAGGTGTCGCGGCTGTTGGCTCAAAGTGTGTCTCCAGAAGTTCCGCGTCGCGCGTGACGTCAGAAACAGCGTCTGCCTCGAGTTCGCGCCCAAACTGCTGGCGCCCCCTAACGTCGCGCTCATCACAGGTCAGTCGCCGCGTCTCCATAGCAACGCCTAACCCTCTCTCCGCAGTGGACACGGGCGCCGCACAGCCCGGCCGCCCCGACGCGGCGCCCGGCCTCCTGATGGTGGCGCGCTCTTCCGGGCCGCGCGTGAAACGCGTTTGTCGGACGGCGGGAACGGCGAGCGGTCTGCCGCGCGCCACGAAACGCGATCTGACGCACAGCACGACGACCGACGACGACATCGACGTCTACTTGTGTCTCAAGTCGTGTCCATCGCGTGATTGCAACAAAAAGTTCGTTTTCGCAAACAATTGCGTCAAAAGTGCCTAAAAGTCATTTCCAGTCATTATTCAGACGTTATTTGTGAACAATTTTGTAAATAAATGTGTATTTAATGAAAGCATGACTTCAACAATGTCTCGACAATTGGCCACAGATTCCGAGTTTTGCGCGAAACTCAAACTCCAGAGTGACGTCAGGTCTGTCGTTGTGTCGTCTCGCGCGTCGTCACGTGTCGTCTCAATTGATTTCTTTACTTTCAGATCAAAACACTTTTCGCTTCTTATTTCACGTCTCGATCTCTTCGATGACTCCATTGTTGCCGAAAACGCCATCTTTTGGTCACAAATCTGTTTGAAAAATCTTTCAAAGGTTTCGAACGAAAAAACGCGAAAACTTTTTAACATTTATTTCCCAAAAGGAAACGCATTTCGCGAATTCCGCGCGACTTTTGTCCGCATTGTTGAACACTGTGTCGTGTCGTCACTCCTGTCGTCACGTGTCGTCGCAATTGGCCGCCGCTATTGTTGTGCCCGCGACTGACCTGCTGTTGGCCTCCAATAGAGACCCCATTGTTGTCGCGCGACTTCTTCTGCTATTTATTCGCGATTTCTCTTCGAATTTGATTCCAAAACGACTTCCAATCGAAGCCTTCGTTCTCAACAATGCGTTCACAACTGAATCGCGTTCTCAACAATTGGTTCGCACTTTCGCCGCAATTTCGCGCGCTTTTCATTTCATTTCTCTTTTCTTCAGATTTTTTCTCAACTTTTTGGAAAACTTTTTCTCTTATCTCAAAATCGAACGAAAATTCACGAAAAATATTTCGAACTTTGTTTGGAAAAAAGCCGCGAAAAAAATGCGCAAAACTTCTGGCCTCTCGCGCTCAGCGCTCTTCTCACGGCTCCCAAAACCGTTGTTCGCGTGCCGGCGGCCGCCGTTCTCTCTCTGGCCTCAGATCTCGCGCTCGACGACTGTTCCGCGGAAACGGCGTTCCAAGTGTTGGAAGCGCTGCTCATCACGTGAGCGCCGAAACGTTCGAAACAATTATTAATTCTTATGTTTTTTAGAATTGGAAACGATTTTCTCGTCTTTTGTCCGAAAGTCAATCGAATTCTCGAGAAATAC